TGCTGTTTTTGGGAAATATAATACATTTCTACTTGTTATAGGCCCAACCATATAATTACATAAATATTGTTTTATACCATTGCTTTTTAAATCAGTTAAGAGATGAAAAAAAGAAATATATAGTTACACTGTCCTTTATAATTACATAACTACCTTTATTGGTGATGTGTTTGTGTGTGTGTGTGTGTGTGTGTGTGTGAATTTAAATTAGTGTCTGGGGGCACTTGTTTTCAGCCTGAAGAACTTCCTTTAGTATTTCCTGTAAGGCATGTCTGCTGGCCACAAATTCTCCCACATTTTACTTACTTGGAAATGTCTTTATTTTGCCTTTGGAATATATTTTCCCACTGCCTTCTGCCCATCATTCTTCTGCCCACCATTGTTTCTGATGAGAAGCTAGTTGTTAATCTTATTGGAGTTCCATTGTAAGTGATGAACTCTTTTTCTTTTGCTGCTTTCAAGATTTCTCTTTGTCTTTTCATGTTTTTACTATTTTTTTGTTGGTTTATGGATTTCTTTCCATATCCTGTTTGGAATTCTTGAGCTTCCTAAATGTGTACATTAATTTTAAAAAAAAATTATTTTCCAATAAATGTCAGCAAATTCAAGCATTATTTTTTGGATATTTTTTTCTGCTCCTTTCTTTTCACTCTTTCTAGTATATTGGTTAAGGAACTTTGGTGGTGTAGTGGATAAGGCATTTGGCTGCTAACCAGAAGGTCAGTGGTTCAAACCCATCAGCCGCTCTGTAGAAGAAAGGTGGGGTGATCTACTTCGGTAAAGATGTACAGCCTTGGAAACCCAGTGAGGGTCGCTATGAGTTGGAATTGACTCGATGGCAGTGACTTTGTTTAGTATGTTCATTATTTTATGCAAATATATTCTTAACAACTGTTTATTTTCCTACCTTGTGTGCATTTCTTCTCAAAGGGTAATCCAGCAGACTAAGCGAGGAAGAAAAGATTACCTATTCCTCCTTTGTACAAATGAAAAGTTATACATAGGATTAGAAAACCAAAGGAGTTAATATCTATACATAATAAAGTGCAAAGAGGTCTAGGGAGGAACTAAAGGGAAAGATCAGTCACACTGAGGATAAGCCATACAACTGGGAAAAAAATGAACACTATTCAACAAGAGTCAACAGTTCAATTTGGCCGAGTATCCATTTACTACTGCCTCCGCAGCTTTATACCTATGACATAGGAAGGTTATCTATTCTCAGGGAATAAACAAACATTTGTCTAGTGGTCTGAGGAGTCACCTGCAAATCATCTACTTTGCTGTGACTGAGTGAGATAGCAATGGCCTAAGCTTTGGACCCAACACTCTGTCAGTTTGTTGTACTTTGGTAGTTTATGTGTTGTGTGATGCTGGAAGCTATTCCACCAGTATTTCAAATACCAGCAGAATCACCCAAGGTAGACAGATTTCAGCAGAGATTAAAGACTAAGACTGGGAAGAAGGACCTGGCAATCTACTTCTAAAAAATTTGGCTGGTGAAAACCTTATGAATAACAGTGGAACATGAGCCCCTCAGGTTGGAAGGTACTCAGAATACGACTGGGGAAGAGCTGCCTCCTCAAAACAGAATTGACTTTAATGGTATATATGGAGTAAAGCTTTCAGGACCTTCATTAGCTGATGTGGCATGACTCAAACTGAGAGGAAACAGATGAAAACATCTATTAATAATCAAAATGTGGAATGTACAAAGTATGAAGCCAGAAAAATTGGATGTCACCAAAAATGAAATGGAATATATAAAAACCAATATCCTAGGCATTATATTTTAAAGTAGCTTAGAGAAGAAAGGGGAACAAGTATATATTTACTGATTTTATTATATTAACTCCTTATTTATAATTTCTGAATATCTTCATTTGTTCCTGGGGCTTTGACTTACCTTCTAGAATTATTTCCTTAGCCCTCAGCTTTGCTTTTGCTCATCACTTTTGTGCTGGTTTTTTTTTTTTTTTTTTGGAAATATAATACATTTCTACTTGTTATAGGCCCAACCATATAATTACATAAAAATTGTTTTATACCATTGCTGAAATGGACTGGTATTGGTCATTTTGAATTGGATAATTATATGGCCAAATTTGAAAAGGAAAGGTGTCACATTCATGTTAAAGAAGAACATCTCAAAATCTATCCTGAAGTATAAGTCTATCAGTGATAGGATAATACCTGTATACCTACAAGGAAGACCAGTTAATAAAACTATTATTCAAACTTATGCACCAACCAGTAATGCTAAAGATGAAGAAACTGAAGATTTTTAACAACTTCTGCAGTCTGAAATTAATCAAACATGCAATTTAAGATGTATAATTACTAGTGATTGAAATGTGAAAGAAACAGAGAAAAAGGATTGTTAGTTAAAAAATATGGCTTGGTGATAGAAACGACAATGGAGATCGCATGATAAAATTTTGCAAGACCGAAGACCTATTCATTGCAAATACCTTTTCTCAGCAACATAAACAGCAAATATACACACGGACCTCACCAGATAGAATTCACAGGAATGGGGTTGATTACATCTGTGGAAAGAGACAATGGAAAAGCTTAATATCATCAGTCAGAACAAGGCCAAGGCACAACTGTGGAACAGACCATCAATATGTAAGTTCAAGTAGAAGCTGAAGAAAATTAAAACAAGTCCACAAGAGCCAAACTATAACCTTGAGCATAACCAACCTGAAGTTAGAGATCATCTCATGAATAGATTTGACACATTGAACACTGAAGACCATAGACCAGAGAAGTGTGGGATGACATGAAGGACATCATGCATGAAGAAACCAAAAGGGCATGAAAAAGATAAGAAAGGAAGAAAAGACTAAAATGGATGTCAGATAGACTCTGAAACTTTCTCTTGAACACAGAATAGCTAAAGTGAATGGGAAGAAATGATGAAGTAATAGAGCTGAACAGAAGATTTCAAAGGGCACCTTGAGAAGACAGAGTAATGTACTATAATAAAATGTGCAAAAACCTGGAGTTAGAAAATCAAAAGAGAAGAACATGCTCAGAATTTCTTAAGCTGCGAGAACAGAAGAAAAAAAATCACGGCTCGAGTTGCAATACTGCAGGATTCTATGGGCAAAGTATTGAATGACACAGGGAGCATCAAAAGAAGATGGAAGGAATACACAGATTCACTGTACCAAAAAGAATTGGTCAATGTTCAACCATTTCAGGAGGTAGCATATGGTCAAGAACCAATGGTATTGAAGGAAGAAGTCCAAGCTACACTGAAGGAATTGGCAAAAAACAAAGCTCCAGGAGTTGACAGAATGCCCATTGAGATGTTTCAACAGATGGATGCAGTACTGGAGGCACTTACTTGCTTATGGCAGGAAATTTGGAAGACAGCTACCTGGCCAACTGACTGGAAGAGATCATATTTGTACCCATTCCAAAGAAAGGTGATCCCACAGAATGTAGAAATTATTAAAAAATATCATTGATATCACACACAAGTAAATTCTTACTGAAGATAATTCAAAATTGGTTGCAGCAGTATATTGACAGGGAACTTCCAGAAATTCAAGCTGGATTCAGAAGAGGATGTGGAACAAGGGATATCATTACTGATGTCAGATGGATGTTGGCTAAAGGCGAAGAATATCAGAAAGATGTTTACCTGTGTTTTATTGACTATGCAAAGGCATTAAAATGTGTGGGTCATAACAAATTATGGATAACATTGCAAAGAATGGGGATTCCAAAACACTTAATTGTGCTCATGTGGAACCTGTACATTGACCAAAAGACAATCATTTGAACAGAACAAGAGGATACTGAGTGGTTTAAAATCAGGGACGGTGTGCTTCTGGGTTACATCCCTTCATCATATATATTCAGTCTGTATCTTGAGCAGATAATCTGAGAAACTGACTTCATGTGAAGAAAAACATGGCATCAGGAATGGAGAAAGACTCATTAACAAACTTCAATATGCAGATGACAAAACTTTGCTTGCTGAAAACAAAGAGGACTTGAAGCACTTATTGATGAAGATCAAAGACTACTTCCTTCAACGTAAAGAAAACAAAACAAAACAAAGTCCTCACAACTGGACCAATAAGTAACATAATTATAAACACAGAAAATTTTGAATTGTCAAGGATTTCATTGTACTTGGATACACAGTCACTGCTCATGGAATCAACAGTCAAGAAATCAAATAATGTATTACGTCGGCAAATCTGCTTCAAAAGACCTCTGTAAGTGTAAAAAAGGAAAGATATCACTTTGAGGACTAAGGTACACCTGACCCAAGCCATAGTATTTTCAGTTGCCTCGTATGCATGTGAAAGCTGGACAGTGAATAAGGAAGACTGAAGAAGAATTGATGTCATTGAATTACTGTGTTGGTGAAGAATGTTGACCATACCAAGAAGAATATACAGATCTGTCTTGGAAGAAGTACAACCAGCATGCTCTTAAAAGTGAAGATGGTGAGACCTGGCTCATGTACTTTGGACATGTTATTAGGAGGGACCAGTCCTTGTGGGAGAACATCATGCTTAGTAAAGTAGAGGGTCACTGAAAAAGCAGAAGACCCTCAATGAGATAGTTTGACACAGGGCTGCAATATTGGGCTCAAGCATAGCAATGGTTGTGAGGATGGCATAGGACTGGGCAGTGTTGTCTTTTATTGTCCACGGGGCGGCTGTGAGTCTGAACTGACTCCACGGCACCTAACAACAACAAGCTTTGGAAATTCAGAAGAGTTTTCTTGGACAACTTTGTGGGTTTTTACACTTTGATAGAATATTCTAGAGCATAAGAAAAACTTCTCTATAGTGAGAGCCTATATGTTTGCACTTGTTAGGGCAGTCAGCTCACTCATTCCACCAGATCAGCTTTGAGATCATGGACTGATTTGGAATTGCAATTAATGTCCTGAGTGGAAGAGCTTCTAGGACATTTCACTGCTGTATTGCAAAGACAGCAAAGTCAAATAAGCAATTCAAGTTGTGTACCTTATTTCACCTTCTCTAATGTGACCTGCCAGTTCTTCAATAAACTTCTCCCCTTTCATCCAGTAGATCATTGGTCCAGACTCTCCACTGAATCCGAAGAATGCTTTGCAAGGTATATTCAGGGGCTTACCTGAGAATGACAGAGAAAAAATAAATGAGCAAATGGCTCCTGGTTATCACTGGGAGACAGGAGAGGTCCATTTAACATCCAAAGGAAAACTCAGAGGTGACCCATTTTTCAACTCTTCCTCCAATCATCCTTGCATTGTACGTGAGAACAATTTTAAATAGTTATGAGTGCTTCTGGGAAATTTTAAAATTCAAGGTTTTATAAAAAAAATAAAAAAGTAAAGAAAGTTATTCAGTTTTTAGAACTGCTTATATTTATTGCCTCCCTCCCAGAGAACTAATATGAAAGAATCCAAGAGAGGGGATCTCTTTTTTTTTTTTTCTTTTGAGAGTATTAATTACTGCTTACTTTCCACCTGGATTTGCCTTCAAAGCTACCATTAATCAAAAGTATAAAAGTTAATTTTTGATTGGTGAAAAGACATCATATGATAACAGGCTTTAGAGTACTAATAAGATTGCACAGGGAAAATAAGTTTATTCTAAGAAAAGTAGGATAATATAAACCAAAGGAAGAATTCTTAATTACAAAAATATCTATAAAAAGTATATACAGGGAAAACTCAATTTACTTGAATCTTCTACATTGTTTTTGTCATCCACAGTGCTTAAATAATTCTAGGCAACACTTCAGTACTTTTTATTATCCATCTTTGTGATTACAGCTAAAACTTTTGTTTAATTATAAATCACTCATCAAATATATATCAAATGGTTTCTGCTGGCATCGATATTATTTTCTTCTTGCAAAAAAGGACAGTAAGGGAGAACAAGGTGGAACAAAACTCAAAATCATTTGGAGAAAAAAAA